TCAACACGGAGGCCTACATTAATTGCTGCTCTTGGCCAAGAGGGTGGCTGCTGGATGACCCAATATCTGACAACGGGACTTCGTACCATTCCACACAAGTAGGAGAATCCATTCATAGGTGTCAGACAATTTCTGTGACAACATCACCCCTTACTTCTGGTCACCTAACACTCTGCAACCCACTTGATTATTATGTATGGGACTATATTTAGTCGTCCCCCCACGAGGGCGTCATGTGGCACAAGGCCTTTTTAACGTGGGCATTTCCGAGCCATTAGGCTCGGCCAAAAAATAGCCCATTTGAAACCGTATAAACGGGTTCAGAGCCGGTTTTACCTTCCCGAAGGAGACTCCGCCCTTCGGCGTAGCCTCCTTCGGGTTCCTCTCCGTCCGTAGACAGAGAGTTGAACCGAACCGTTGCTCAAGAGTTGAGCGACGGACTCTGCAACCCACTTGATTATTATGTATGGGACGCAAGTGAGTGAGGGAGCAACAAAACTCCTTGTAACACAAAAGATGAACTGAAGGCAAGGATTAATTTAACATTCACCAACTTAAGCAAGGAGGGTTTAAGCAGAGGGCTGAAGGTTCGGTTAAAATATAATTACTGTTCTAATCTAATTTAATTTTGAAGTTATTACTCAGATTGTCTAGTCTTTTGGGTAGAGGGTCCCGAAATCCAGAGAATTTTAGGTGCTATTTTCCCTTTTTTTACCCTGAATCCTTATTCAAAATGGCTCCTCATCCGGACTTAGAAAGGAAATCGACCACAAACCTCCTTCTTTCGGAAAGAGGAAAATGACACAAACATTCACAGATTGTTAGTTAACGGTTATGGAAAAGCTTTACTTGAGATAAGCAAATTGAAAATGAACTTTAATCGACACACTCATTTCATTGCAAAATGAAAATACTCCTTAATCGGAATACTCCTTAATCGACATACCTATTTCATTGCAATATATATATATATATATATATATATATATATATATATATATATATATATATTATTATTATTATTATTATTATTATTATTGAAATGATCCGTAAAAATGCCAGATATAAATTTGGTGATATTTTTTCTGGCCCTCAAAATATTACTTTTCAAAACAATTTGTTTGAAAATATTTTAGAGAATACGCAACACATTTCACTTAAATCATTCCAAAAGAACGAAAACGGACTGATGAAGGAGAAAGCATTTCTGAGAGCAACCACAAGCAGGAAGCTGTGGCCTACGATAGTCATTTCTATCCTAATGGGCCATGGCATACAGAGATAGAAAAAAAAGATGTAAGTGCTGCAATAAATTGAATTCCGAATTGATTTCTCTTTCTGAAAGCTATACGCCATTCTTCGATAGAACCTATTTTGAACTCAAGTGATTTTTAAAGCAGGCTTCGATTCCCATGACAAGGAAGAAGAACTAAATTTGCCACAAAGGGATCGTTAATTTAATGGAGAAGGCATAAAGTTTTCTATTGTTAGAATAGTTTATTTGAGTGAGAAAATCAAGAAACTTCAAATACCAAAATATTTTGTCTGAAAAGGCACACAATGAAAAGGGTTCGAATCGAATTCGGCAAAAGAAAAATGGCTGACAAATGTCCGTTTTAATATGCGGTCATCGTTAAAGTCATTAAGGGTTTTGATTCCAGTAGCTAATAGCTATAAATATTAGTATATAAATAACTGATAGACAATGGGAACGTCAATTTTCACTGCCTCGAGACATGGCGGACTAGTTTACTTGAGTGTTCACTCTTTTTTTTATTTTTTATATGACAATAATCTCAGTATACCAACGACGAAGATATTTGTCTATTTTTTGCCTATTTTCTTTTTCTTCTATGTGCCATGTCTCTTCATGACGTAGACGATCATAGCTCTCCACAATTTCCTGCCATTTGTACATCTTAATAAATTTTCTCTTTTTATCTCTCACTAGCAGCATGGCCCGGCGTTGCTCGTGCTTGATTCAAAAATCGTACGACTCATACGATTTTTGCACTTCTTTGCCTTTAAAGGAGTGCCCTTTTCCGTACTGATGTTGCTACATGCCTTACTTCTTGCCTATCTCACACTGCGAATTTTTTTCTAAGCTCTATACTAAACATTAAATATGTTACGAAAAAAGAACTAAACTAAATGAACACAAAACGATCAGCTTTAAAAAAGGACTCGTAACTGGAAAAACCGAATGAAATAAGAATGTTAACAACAAATACTTTTTCACACCCAACCCAGTTCTGCGGAATCAGAATCAACGTTGAGTTTAAGCAAGCGAATGAGCCAATTGGAGTAAAGTGCCATGCAGATTTAAATTTTTTCCACTTGTGACGAATGCAGCGATCGATTGTTTTTGCATGCTAGCATGCTAGTTAACATTCGTGTCAGTCAGCTGTTGGCTCTCACACTGGCCAATAGCATCTTCCTGCCTATTCGTGGCAGCCAGTTATAGGCACTCACTCTGACTAGTAGAAAATGGCCGCAAACTACATGAAAACTGACGTAGAAGCATGAAAAAATCGATTATTTCCTCTATCGATGGGAGTTGGGAAATGCAAAGTCGGTTTTGTTCTTCCCGCTAACTTGGAGCATGTGCATGTAAATTTTGGTGCAAATCCGTCGAAAATTGCGACCGTGCATTCGTTACACACACGCACACACACACATCCGGCTTTTTATAGATAGAGATAAACCTTGTTCCGCCATCCATTTACTCAATCTCTTTTTTTAGGTTAGGCTTTGTTTTCTTTTTTGTTTTCTTCTTTGTTTTCTTCAATCTGTCCTGTAAGTATCAAATTTTCCAGACCCCGTCTCCTCATTATGGACCCAAGAGTTTCAACTGACTCTTCTCGGTCTTAAGAATATGTTTCCTTTTTTTTTTTTCATACTTTTCCCAAAAGAAATAAACATAATCTGTATTGATAGATCTCATATAGTAATATTCAACATAGATGTGCAAGTGTAAGCAAACAAGCAAGCGTGTGTGTGTGTGTGTGTGTGTGTGTGTGTGTGTGTGTGTGTGTGTGTGTAAAATGACGCTTCAAGGACCAGTTGAAGACATCCCTGACACAGGCCAACATCGACCTTGAAATCTGGCAAACTGTTACAGGAAATCGGTCTTTCTGGCGTAGGACCATCGAGAGTGGGGGGGGACGAGAATTTCGAATGCAACTTTCAATATGAAGAGGATCTGCGGTCAGGAGGGCCTGACTCGCCCAACCGCGTCCACCATCCACACTCCCCCTGTGACTCCTGCTGACGACACTTCACGAGGAGGCTGCGCTTTCACAGCCATCTCTGCTACCTCCACCAGGCGGGAAGAAGGGGAATAGAGAGAGAGAGAGAGAGAGAGAGTGGATGATGATCTCGATGCGAGTGGGTGTCGACGATGACGATGATCCTTGAGATAGATAGATAGATAGATAGATAGATAGATAGATAGATAGATAGATCTTATAATTCCTGGTATCAGTATATAAAAAACAATGAATAAATCTTTCTAGTTTTCTCTTATTTTTCTCTATATTTCTTTCTCACTCCCATGTCTATCTTTTTTATTAGTCTTTCGCCCGCTCCGTTTCAGGTAAGTGAATTGTTCCTTACACCCTTTTAATCTGTTAGATAATTCCATCACTAGACTGACCACTCGGGACATTGTGGTTTGTAGAACTAATCGTCCTCTATCTATTTACCATCCACCATTTAAATTCGGTTTATCAGGCGAAAAGAAATTTTTAAAATAAGTAAAGAATTGGATTTGCCTTTTCTAAAACAGACAACACTTAACTGATTGAAATCGCTAGGAAAGGTTTTTGTGTCAGTAATTCTTGAAGAGATTAGGAAATGATTTTTTTGACGCACATAGGATTACTTTCTTTCTCTTTTATTCGGTTGAATATTTCTGTTCGTTCTTGCAGAATATTCTCATGTTCCTCTTTTGATTCCAAAGAGGTTTTGTTTGTTTTGTTCGGCCATAATTCTCGTCTTACACAAGGTTCTTTTCTCTTAAATAAATGTTGTTTTGTAGCTTTCTCCTTTGTTGTTTTGATTTCATTGTTTTGATTTTGAAAAAATACTGCAAGTGAGGTTTTCTTTTTTGTACACATCCTTATATATTTTCTTAATCACAGTTTTGTTATCGGCAAAATATGATATTCGATGACTTCTGGGGATTACAAAAATTGGCGGAAGAATAAACAAACTGCAATGCAAAAACTAATCATTCAAATTATGAAAAAGAAATTGTTTTATTTTTATTTTTTTTAACGTTCTGCTCTGAATGCAGAAAAACGCCTCGAGACCCGCCATAAAAATAAATAACTGCAGTATTTTTCAAAAACCAAAACAAATAAACGTTTTCGCATGTCCAAGAGGCAAACGTGGAGATTTCTTTGTTTTTCCTTGATGAGCAAACGTGACAGATGTGAAAGGCTACAGAATAATGAAAAAGGACTAAATGCGCACAGTGAGAGGCAAAGTCAATGTGAAATTCCTTGTCGAGTATGGAAGGAGAAACTCGTCTCAATTATAAAGAGAGCTTGTTTTTTCAATTATGTCAAATTTTATAGAATCGTTTAGAGATTTGTTAAATTGGAAGACATTGAATAAATAAAATGATTACCAGCCATAAACACATATTCGTAGATATAAACGGAGATAGATAGATAGATAGATAGATAGATAGATAGATAGATAGATATGAACAGATTGAGATAGACATGAACAAATAGATAGATAGATAGATAGATAGATATGAGCATAGTGAGCTAGATAATTATGGACATAGATAGATAGATAGATAGATAGATAGATAGATAGATAGATAGATAGATAGATAGATAGATTGCGTATGCAAGTTTGTGACATTTTGTATGCTTAAGTGGGCAACGAGTGATAACATGTATTTCTAATTGTTTTCGTTTGTCTGTCAAGAAGGGTTTTTATCTTTCCTTTTGTACAACCAACCCTCACGGCGGTAAGTCGAAGTGTTCTAATTTTATGGTTCGTTTCTTTAGGAATGTATTCTTTGTATTAGATAGATATAATGTAGATTTTTTAAGAACGGATACAAAAGAAAGATGGCGATGTAATGTAATGTTTTAGGTGTTGACTTTATAGTTGGTAATAATATTATTATTAAGCTTTCAAATCATTTCCTCCTTAAAAAATTATGTTCTTTTTTTAATTAGGGTGGCATTAGTGAAATCAAAGTTAAGTCCAGCATCGTTTCGATAGATAGATAGATATCAGGTGATCCCATAAGTTCTGTCCGAATTTTGAATAAAGAAAACAAGTGACCAAATGTTACATTTAATTACAGATTCAATCAACAATGTATTTTCCCTGATTATCTAGGACTTCCTTCCATCTATTAACAAGCTTACTAATTCCATTACTGTAAAAATTCTTTTTGTTTTGATTCAAAGAACTCACAAACGTCAGTTTTAACCTCTTCCTGTGTTACAAAAGCTGTTTCTTCCAAATGATTCTGTAAGCTACGAAACAAATGGTAGTCTGAAGGAGCAAGATCGGGAGAATAAGGTGGATGAGGAATTTTCTCCCAACCAAATTCTTCGATCTTTTGTGACGTGAATCTTGCTGTGTGGGGTTGCGCATTGTCCTGATGAAACAACACCCCCTTTCGATTCACTAGAGCAGGTATTTTTTTCCTCAAAGCTTGGTTCAAACGCTCTAATTGCTGACAGTATATTTGAGCATTAATTGTTGCATTAGGTGGTAAGAATTCAAAGTGGATTATTCCTTGGCGATCCCACCAGATTTAAAGAAGAACCTTTTGCCCATGAAGTTCCCTTCTCGGCTGTGGCTGGGGTCCTTCACCTTTACCAAGCCACTGTCTACGACGCTTAACATTTCTATAAAAGATCCATTTTTCGTCGCCAGTCACAAGTCTATCCAAAAAAAGGTGAAACAAGTTGGCGAGAATGGAAAGAAGAGCAGATGTCAACTCGGGATTTGAGGTTGTTTTCAGACAATTCATGAGGCACCCATTTTCCAAGTTTAGGAACTTTTCCAAGTTGTTGAAGATGACGATGAACAGTTGTATGGTTTGAACTGAGAACCACTGCCAATTCCTCAACTGATAAAGAAGGATTTTCTTCAAGGGCCGCTTCAAGAAGCTTTTTATCAAACTCAACTCGACGTCCGGTTCGATCTTCATCTTCAAGGGAGAAATCTCCACTCTGAATTTTACAAACCATCTTCTGCAAGTTCTTTCATTCACACATTCCTCTCCATAAACTGATTGAATGTTTCTAGCCGCTTCGGCTGCTGAGTTTCCTTTCTTGAACTCATAAAGCATTATGTGCCTCAAATGATTCTTGGGTACTTCCATGTTAGCGGGGTTTTAATCAAACAAAATTTAATTTTATTGTTCTCTGAAATAACATTTGATCAGTTTAAATACATCTAAACATAAAAATAATGTTCAGCTCCATTAGACATTATAAAATACTCTTTAAATTTCGTTCATTTTAACAAAAAGTTAAAATTCGGACAGAACTTATGGGATGACCTGATAGATAGATAGATAGATAGATAGATAGATAGATAGATAGATAGATAGATAGATAGATAGATGGCACTTCTTTGCAAAAGAAGACGATCTTTTATACTCGAGCTAATGCTCTGCTATGGACCCATAAAATATTCTTAAAGCCATTTTCAACTTTACAACCACTCTTACACACGTGGCAAACATAAAGTTTGTCTGTGTTACCTATGTTGGGAACTTGCCTTTCCCTGAGTAAATTCATGTGATATTTGAGTCCCACAACAGACTTACAAAAACCTTGTCACAAAATCCGCACAATTAACTTGCAAGTCCTTCTGATAGGGTTGCATTAACAGGGTTTGCAGCTGACTTCTCTGGCGTGATCTCACGTTACTGGCTAACCCAACCACCAAAAGGGTATCTTTTCCACAAACACTGCAGGTGTGTTGGTGTCCTAATAGCTCTAGGACAGATTCTATTTTTCTCTTCCTAATGGCGCGCTTTTTCTTGGAATGCTCAATTCTCTTTCAGCTCAAAATTCTTGCAGCGTTCCTAGATCAACCTTCTCCAGCCAAATCTTTCTCCAGAAATAGTTCCCTAGTCATCAACATTAACGTCAAGGGTCTTTAGGTTACATTTAACTACATGCTTGAATCATTTTCAGCTTCCAAAACTAAGCTGCTTTCTATTAATCATCTGAGAGCCCCTCTCTACCTTCCATTAGTATGGCTGATGCTAACCTCCAGTAGAGTGACTCGTTGCACCTTCTCGGGCTAACATCCTCGGCATGACATGAAGTGGATTGACTATATTGAATCCATTGCTAGGTCCGCTGCTGAGAAATTTGGTTCCCTGTGTCGGGCGAGACAATTTCTCTCTGCAGAATCTATCTTACATATTTATGAGTCTACCATTTGTCTATGCTTAGAATATTACTTCCACATCTAGTCCGTTGCTCCCACTGTTTCTCTAGAGCTCTTTGATCAAAAAAAGAATCAGCAATATTATTGGCCCGAATCTGGCGTCTCGGCTTCAGTCACAGTTCCACTGCCGTAAGGTTGCTTCTTTGTATTTCTAGAAATATTTTCATGGTAATTGTTGAGATGAGATCTTCACTATGGTGTTTAGACGTTTTTAATTTAAGCGCAGTACTAAACTGGCAATGAGATCCCGTTATTTACAGTTCATCTGGCTACATGTAGCCGTAAGTTCTATGCTAACAGTTTCTTTTCTCGCTTGTGGAACTCTATTCCGGCTTCATGCTTTCCAGCCAACTTTAATCTTCAAAAATTTAAATGCAATGTCAATCGTTATCTACTGTCTTCCTGATTATTCTCCCCCTTCTTTTCCCGTTTCTTAGCAATGTTTCTTTTTCTAACTCTTCCAAAGTGCAAAGTAAAGATTGAGTAGTTGAAGCCTAGATGAGGCAGTAACTCCATTTTTGATCGGCTCTGGTTCTTTTACAGGCAAGACGAGCTAGATACTTTCTGAAAGGGTAAAAAGTATATATACGATCCATCATATAGGTGAATTCCTTTTAAGATATGGAGTGAGTTTGATTCCCAACAGACGTTCAAAGCCTGGAGCTTCAATGAGAGTGAAAAAGTTCATCGTGTTCACAATTTTTAAAGTAAATATTAAATTTATGTACAAGGAAAATGGTGATGTTGATGGGAAATAGACGAATAAAAATAAAATATTCACTTTATTTCTCGTATCTTCAAAAATATTTGAGATACTTTTGCGTTAGTGCATTGATTGGCTAATTGGTTGAATTTCTCTAGTGGCATATCAACACCTATCTGGGTTTATTTAATGCTGAAATCTAAATATTTTGAACACAATTTTATGGCTTCAACTAAATAAATTTTGAACGCAATTGTACGCCTTTAACTACAGGTAAAATGTATTGTTGGTCATTTTGTTATAAAATGTATTTGTTTATATTTTTGAGATGAGGTATTATGTACACTATTTACATTATTCGGATAAAGGCGTTAGTTAGATCCAGTGACAGGACCCAAACAGTGTGAGTTCAATACCCGGTTAAGGCAGTGGAGAACTTGGAGAGGGGAATTAACAGGAGATAACTGATAATAGACATCCATTAAACATGGCACGTGGAACTAGAACAGTCTACCCCAGTGAGCGAAATAAAGGGTTCAGTTCAACATTCCAACCACCTGAAGAAGGCCGGAGCGCACAACAGCCGAAATGTCGTAATAAATATGGCAACAAAGATTAAGACAATAGTCCGAATAATGTAAATAGTGTTTAAAATGTATTGTTGGTAATTCCTACCATAAATTATATTGTTGGTAATTCTTACAGTAAATTGTATTATCTGTAATTATTTTATATATAAAATGTATTGCTGGTATTTTTTGTATAAAAACATATTTTTACTCATTCATATTTTTTTTAATCTCAGTTTGGAGATTAACTATTTGCCCATAGCTGGGACTCTAACAGATGCTACCACCCTGGATAAGAGTGTACTTGGTGACAACAATAATTAAGAGGTTGTTCTACGTTCCACAAAATCTCCCGATCAGAAGTCTTGCTGCCAGATCGTCATACCCGTGCATTGAGTTGGCTTTCTTTTATAGGAACCGGTGTTAATCACACATCATGTCTGGAATCGACCAAACCTTGATACTTCGATTCAATCTCAGATATGTATTAATGAAACTTTCTACTGTGCTCATTACTTCTAACATCTGTATACGTTTGAAAATAATCGAGATAAAAATGCAATAAATTCATTTTAAAAGACGTCAGTCACCTCATCCTTGAGATGCCATTAATGTTTAGTTTATTATATCGACATCGTTTCAATCTCTAGAACACCCAAGAAATTTCTGTACAACAAATTGCTAGTTGTAACCGTAAGTTCTATGCTGATAGTTTCTTCTTTCGCACTCCTCGGCTGTGGAACTGTTTTCCGGCTTCCTGCTTTCCTGTCATAATCTTCAAAAGATTAAATGCAACATCAATCGTCATCTACTGCCTCTTTGAATCCTCTTATTCTATTGTATTTGCTGTTTGTTTCATTTCCAATAACCCCTTTGCTTCTTAGTGGCTTTATCGCCTCCTTTGGGTTAAAATGTTTAAAAAAAATAAGATGTATAAATCTCCCACCGCCTGTCCAACTAAATAACAATTCAATCTGTTTTAAATATTTATATTAAAATGCTTTTTTACCATTGTTTATCCAATACAAGTCCCAAGAGACACTCAAAACAGAAGGTTACTAAATGAGGTTGTTGTTAGGACGTACAGGAAGAGAGCAAATGGTTCATATTATAAGGATATGTAAGATATATAACGGTTGACCCATGACTTGAAGAAGTTTAGATTATAACGATTAGGGGAGCCTCCCCTCAGGAGTCCGTTCCCCAATGCATCAGTTCAGGGGGAAGAACCTTCTCCTTAGCAATGGAAGATGAAAGAAATGATGATTTTCTAAGCATAGCTTAAATGTGGCACAAAACCGAATGTATGGGGCACTTGGTGAGGATCGAACTCACTAAGTTGAAATTGATCTAGCGAGACAAGCTTGTTAACCATTACAGCAAGTCGAAGTGCCCAAATATGAAAGGAATGACAATGAATCGACGGCGTACGCGACCTGACAGATCCCAGTTGTGATAATCTGGATTGGTTGAATCAAGGATTCTAATTCACCTGAATATCTGGCATGGAAACAGAGTAGCGATGGGTCGAAAAACATTTCGTCTATGGGGAAAGGGGTTGTAGGGTGGAAAACGTTTCATCACTCACAAGGCCGCACAAATGCTTTTGTACTCTGTCGAAGTTGGAAAGTGAGGATTGGTTACTTCTAAACCACCTGTGTTATGCGCATGTCTAAAAGAAAAGAAAACTAACGTACTCAGATACTTTTGGGTACAGATTTAGAATCAGTGTACTCGATTTAATCTGGTATGGCAATATTTGTCTGAGTAACAGACAAAAAGATGTCATTGTTGTTGTTTCTGTGTCCCAGAGTAATTAACATAACAAAAGCTCTCCGCCATCTTGTTCATGCCCATAATGCGAAATCCTGATATATTACAATCATTCTGATTACGAATGGGTTAGAATCGGCGTACTCGATTTAGTTGTCAGCATACGCTTTTACACTAGTAGGAAAGGTTTTGTTGCCCAGTGTAATTTGATAGTTTTTCTTCATCAACAACCCCCCCGTCCACCAAAAGGATCACATTAATGACAACAAATGCTATTAAGTGGATAATTTGTTCACAACCTCGAGTTCACAAATTGATAAAAAATTTCAAATTTACGTTCAATTTAAATCGGCAAAATTATAAAATTTTCAATTGATTTTTTCTTTACAACTAGAATATTTTTAAATCGTAGAATTCCAATCTCAAAAAAGGTTTCTCTTTCTAAACAAAATAATAGTTCTTCAGAATTCAACGTGTTGAAAGGTTAATCGGAAGGACAACGGACGAAAATTCTTTCTGTAATCATGACCTCAATGAATCTAGGAACTTATGAAAGCAAAACACAATCATTTTATTTTTTGTCTGACATTTTAAAGAAGCGCTCGTGTTAGAAATTTGTAATTAATGCTTTTTAATCAAATGCAAATTTGGAAATTTTCGATAACGAATCCATTCTTATTTTTCATACCCAGATAAATGCAGCTAAGATATTTCTTCCATTCATATGAACACAGTGTTCAGAGTCCATTTGTCTTTCTTTTTTTACGCGTGTTTTTTTTTCTTTTTTCTCCTAGATGTTTCATTACTGATTAGAATTCGTCCTGGGTAAAACGTTAAACTACATCCGCGTCCTGGGTAAGACGTTAAACTACATCCGTGTCCTGGGTAAGACGTTAAACTACGTCCAGCAGCAAGGCCTCTGATCAGAAGGTTTTGAGTAGCGTGGAACCACCTCTTAATTACTGGTGTTCCCAGGTCCACTCTGACCCAGGGTGGTAGCACCTGTTATGGTCCCAGCTATGGGCAAATAGTTAACTATTACCAGCAATACTTTTTTGAAAAAAATTATTACCAGCAATACAATTTTGAAGGAAATATATTACCAGAAACAGATTTTTGACAAAACAAAATATTACCAGCAATAAAAATTTTTGTCAGCATTAAATAACCCATTGAGGTTGATATGCCGTTAAACAAAATAAACCAAACCAAACTAAAACTAATTGGAATTTTTTTTTTAGAAAAAGACTTCGTCAGACACAGATATTTTCCGAATAGACACCGAGTTTTTTAAGCAAACGTTCATCCAAAGCAAGGCTTGAGAGTAACTCGAGATAGAGGGATATTGTTAAAATGGTTATTACGAATATGTAATATGAATAAAAGAGAAAGAAGAAAACATTAATGTCTAAAAAGTCACTTGTTAAACGCATCTATCTAGCCTTTGATTTCGAGTTGCCTTCGCGGACAGTTTTTTTTTCTTTATCCTCGCCTACCGCTGTTCATAGGGGTCAAACTTTATGTGTGATTAACAAATAAAGCTGAAAAAGTGTTCTTATGGGCGCCCCTATTGTAGCTAAAGCGATGTATTTCTGTAATAGTAAAATCTTTAAAAGCAATATGTAAGATTACTTCTCTGGCAGTAAAAGTGTAGGCGCGTCGAACCGGTGTTTGAATCTCACTAAGGGTCAATATTTCACACTTTGATTTATTAATTCCGTGCTATGAGAGAGAACACCTCGCCCCATGAGAATTAAGCTTGTGTTTTTATTTTATAATAGAATTCATCCCATACAATGCTCGAGAGCCATTCAATGTAGAGGGTTGCTGTTAAAATATTAATCATGAATGTTTTGTGTGACATAAATAAAAGAGGAGGTGGTAGGAAGTGAAAATTATGAGGATAGGGAGGATAGATAACGATTGAACCTTGACTTGAAATATAGAAGTATGCACATGGGTTAAGCTTAACATAATCAAATATGTAGTTACTGTAATAGGGTAGGCAGTAAGAATCGAACTCACTCCATTGAGAGGATGTAGCAAGATAAAACTCCTCTGTCGTTGGATTTTACAAGATCGCAGCAGATGTGTTGTACTTTTGGAAATTAAAAGAAATAACAGGCAATGTTTTCTTTGCTATAATTTGCAGGAGTTTACTCAAAATAGATGGAAAAGATAGACAGAGAGACAGATCTGTATAAATAAAGCGCAGTGTACGTGTGTCCGTCCGTCCGTTTTTTGATCTCGGCGAATCATAAACAACCTGAAGTAACAGGTAGTAACTATCGTAATTACACACGATTAAAAATTAAATAAATAACTCATTTAAAGTTAAATTTAAATATTGAATAGCGTGAAAGGTTTAAAAGACAATTCTTTATTAAAAGGTTTAATTTTAATTTCGCTTTTCGTCGCAATTACAATTGATATCGTCTAATTACACCTTAATTAAAACTTAAGCGGGGCACGGTACGTTGCTCATATGATTTTTTTTTTCTCTTTTTTTCTAGGACGCGTACTGTAATGTATTCGACATATTACATAGTTCGGGTTCCCTGATGTCTTTTAAGAGTGACTTTATTTGAAAGGATCATAAAGAATGGTGATTTTAAAAAGAAAATAAAAATTGCGCGCAAAATAAATGTAAACAAGCTACGGAGATTGGTTGCGTATACGAAGAAAGATTATGCCGAATTAAGGTGTCGAATAAAGATAAAATAATTTTAGTATTTCTAAATTCTTTTAACTTTAACGTCTAAAGGACGCTGAAGTTAAAAGACCGAAGCCCACACACACACACACACGTGGCTTCTAGGCTAATAAATAAATAAAAATGTGAAATTCGTGGTAAGGTTTGTGAATGATCTCCCCACGAATGTTTTTCCTAAATAAGAAAATGGACGTACAGTGGAGTGGGATCATGTTTAGAAAAAGCGGCCACATTTGTTAATAGGATGGATCGTTTGAGCCATCTACAAATAAATAGGTATTATTTAGGGCTAGAAATCGGATCAGAATGGATTCTGTTTTGTTTTTTTCACACACACCCGCCCCAGCAAGGCAATAAAACCACTAAGACGCAAGGGGCTACTGAGTGTGAAAGAATATGATAAAAACATTATTAAGGAGAGAGAGAACAATAAAAGAACAAGAATTAAAAAGACAAAAGATAACGATTGACATTGCATTTAAATTATTGAAGATCAAAGTGGAGTGGAAAGCAGGAATCTCGCCATTTCAATTGTAGTTAGAGAAACAATCATATCTAGCAAGGATATTCCAGAATAAATATTAACCAGAAGGATTCGCAGAATTTATGACTTTCTCTGAAAGCCTAAATTAATATCACTTTTGTTTCTATGCCGAGTTGCTAACCGCAGCCAAAGAGGCATTTGTCGTTTGATTCTGTAAACTCCATCTCGAGCATCGAGAAGTAAACATCTAACCAACTCTTCTCCACCTTCTCCACTAGTCGCCACCTTGACCAAGAAAAGTTAATCACTTTCGCTGAAAAGAGAATAAAAACGCCAGGTAACACCAATGAAAGTGGGCGGGGATAGCATAGTCTGCAGCATTTTTCCCAACAGGCAAAACGTTGCAAGGCTATCACTACTCTATGGCAAATGTTCAGATGAGCGCTCCACACTTTAGTTCCAGTAGTTCAGACATTTACAGCTAGAACACGGCAAACTAATTCCTCGCTGTCGAAACATCTTTATGGTCTTAACACAAGAAAATTCCACTTAAACAGCTTTTTCCCCTCAAAAAAATTACATTTTGCGGAACAGATACTCGCGTGGGTGTTTCCATAAAAATTACTATCTTAACCACTTCTAGTCAAGAGTCAATCGTTATCTATCCTCCTTATCCTCATAATTTTCAGTTCCTACTACCTCCTCTTTTATTCATATCACATAACTTATTCATCATTACTATTTTAACAGTAACCTCTACATTGACTGGCTCTCGAGCATTGTATTATAAAATAAAAAGACAAGATTAATACTCAAAGGGTTAAAGTTTCTATATCACAGAATTGATTTAGTAAATTTCTGAAACTGTCTTTCCAATCGAATTTTGAATTATTGGCCATTACTGTAATTCGAACACCGACCAGACGCGGCTACACTTTTGCAGCTGGAGAGTACTTCTTATATGTTGCTTTTAGAGATTTTACAATTGCACAAATGTACTATTTCAAACACCAAAGAATCGTCCAAAAGAACACGATTTATCAAAGCCAGTTTTTTTTTAGTTTTTTTTTTTTTTTTTTTTTGTTTCTTAATCACACAGAAAGTTTGACTTTTATGAATTGCAATAAAAAAAAATTTACAGTCACACATACACTCGCACCTCGAAATCAAACGGTAAATAGTATTGATGGGTTTAACAAGTTACATTTTATAAATTAATGTTTTCGTAACGATATAGATATGAATGAATCAAAGTAAACGCCGTTTGGTAGAGAGACGAACCGTCTTGTTTGGCAAACATTGCGTCCGCCATCGATCATCTTTAAAAGCTTCCTTTTTAACAACAAAAAGAAGATTCGCAATGATTGTTTCTGTAAAGAACTGGTCCAGCTGCGAAGAAAACGTTCCAATGACAATTTATATATTTGCACGACAATAACTGTCCTTTTTCTGACAGATATTAACAACTTATTCAAACACCGACCTCATGATCATATCATCATTTTAATATCTTTTTTTCTGGCATAACCCGCTTGTTTAAGGTTTTCTTCTATACCGTCATGCTCTCCACAAACAAAACTGATATTATCTCCTAGATAAAATTCAAGATTGATTCAAGGTTTTCTAAATCTCATCCCAAGGTAATAAGTTCTTTTCTCTCTCAAAGTGATTTTGCTTTCGACTTCCAGATTATTACTATTGTTTTTATTGCCATTCTAGTATTGTTAATCTAGTAAGCAGTGCGGATCAAAAATAAAGAATTAATCATATTTTATTAAATGTTCACCTAATATAAGGCAACTCAATGTAGACGGCAACTGCATGAGGCAAGGTATTATGTACATCATTTATATTATTCGGACTATTGTCCTCATCTTTGTCGACATATTTATCACAACGTTTCGGCCTTTCAGTATCTGTCTATATTTCTGAGATGAGGTATTATGTATATCATTTATATTATTCGGACTATTGTCCTCATCTTTGTCGCCATATTTATCACAACGTTTCGGCCTTTCAGTATCTGTCTATATTTCTGAGATGAGGTATTATGTACACTATTTACATTATTCAGACCATTGCCCTCATCTTAGTCGCCATATTTATCACAACGTTTCGGCCTTTCAGTATCTGTTTATATTTCTAAGATGAGGTATTATGTACATTATTTACATTATTCGGACTATTGTCCTCATCTTTGTCGCCATATTTATCACAACGTTTCGGCCTTTCAGTATCTGTCTATATTTCTGAGATGAGGTATTATGTACACTATTTACATTATTCAGACCATTGCCCTCATCTTAGTCGCCATATTTATCACAACGTTTCGGCCTTTCAGTATCTGTTTATATTTCTAAGATGAGGTATTATGTACATTATTTACATTATTCGACTATTGTCCTCATCTTTGTCGCCATATTTATCACAACGTTTCGGCCTTTCAGTATCTGTCTATATTTCTGAGATGAGGTATTATGTACATTATTTACATTATTCGGACTATTGTCCTCATCTTTGTCGCCATATTTATCACAACGTTTCGGCCTTTCAGTATCTGTTTATATTTCTAAGATGAGGTATTATGTACATTATTTACATTATTCGGACTATTGTCCTCATCTTTGTCGCCATATTTATCACAACGTTTCGGCCTTTCAGTATCTGTCTATATTTCTGAGATGAGGTATTATGTACATTATTTACATTATTCGGACTATTGTCCTCATCTTTGTCGCCATATTTATCACAACGTTTCGGCCTTTCAGTATCTGTTTATATTTCTAAGATGAGGTATTATGTACATTATTTACATTATTCGATTGTCTATTTTATCACAACGTTTCGGCCTTTCAGTATCTGTCTATATTTCTGAGATGAGGTAATATGTACTTTTCGACATTGCCCTCATCTTATATTTATCACAACGTTTCGGCCTTTCAGTATCTGTTTATATTTCTAAGATGAGGTATTATGTACATTATTTACATTATTCGGACTATTGTCCTCATCTTTGTCGCCATATTTATCACAACGTTTCGGCCTTTCAGTATCTGTCTATATTTCTGAGATGAGGTATTATGTATATTTTTACATTATTCGACTATTGTCCTTCTTTGTCGCCATATTTATCATTATTTCGGCCTTTCAGTATCTGTTTATCCTCTATCCTCATTTGTCGCCATATTTATCACAACGTTTCGGCCTTTCAGTATCTGTCTATATTTCTGAGATGAGGTATTATGTACATTATTTACATTATTCGGACTATTGTCCTCATCTTTGTCGCCATATTTATCACAACGTTTCGGCCTTTCAGTATCTGTTTATATTTCTAAGATGAGGTATTATGTACATTATTTACATTATTCGGACTATTGTCCTCATCTTTTGTCGCCATATTTATCACAACGTTTCGGGGCTTTCACATTATATTTCTGAGATGAGGTATTATGTACATTATTTACATTATTCGGACTATTGTCCTCATCTTTGTCGCCATATTTATCACAACGTTTCGGCCTTTCAGTATCTGTCTATATTTCTGAGATGAGGTATTATGTACATTATTTTCCATTATTCGACTATTGTCCTCATCTTTGTCGCCATATTTATCACAACGTTTCGGCCTTTCAGTATCTGTTTATATTTCTAAGATGAGGTATTATGTACATTATTTACATTATTCGGACTATTGTCCTCATCTTTGTCGCCATATTTATCACAACGTTTCGGCCTTTCAGTATCTCTATATTTCTGAGATGAGGTATTATGTACATTATTTACATTATTCGGACCATTGTCCTCATCTTTGTCGCCATATTTATCACAACGTTTCGGCCTTTCAGTATCTGTCTATATTTCTGAGATGAGTACACTATTTACATTATTCGGACCATTGTCCATCTTTGTCGCCATATTTATCACAACGTTACGGCCTTTCAGTTCTGTCTATTCGAGATGAGGTATTATGTACATTATTTACATTATTCGGACTACTGTCCTCATCTTTGTCGCCATATTTATCACAACGTTTCGGCCTTTCAGTATCTGTCTATATTTCTAAGATGAGGTATTATGTACATTATTTACATTATTCGGACTATTGTTCTCATTATCAAAACGTTTCGGCCTTTCAGTATCTGTCTATATTTCTAAGATGAGGTATTATGTACATTATTTACATTATTCGGACTATTGTCTTCATCTTTGTCACCATATTTATCACAATATTTCGGCCTTTCAGTATCTGTCTATATTTCTAAGATGAGGTATTATGCACATTATTTACATTTTTCGGACTATTGTCCTCATTATCAAAACGTTTCGGCCTTTCAGTACCTGTCTATATTTCTGAGATGAGGTATTATGTACATTATTTACATTATTCGGATCATTGTCCTCATCTTTGTCGCCATATTTATCACAACGTTTCGGCCTTTCAGTATCTGTCTATATTTCTAAGATGAGGTATTATGTACATTATTTACATTATTCGGACTATTGTTCTCATTATCAAAACGTTTCGGCCTTTCAGTATCTGTCTATATTTCTGAGATGAGGTTTACATTATTTACATTATTCGGACTATTGTCTTCATCTTTGTCACCATTTTATCAAATATTTCGGCCTTTCAGTATCTGTCTATATTTCTAAGATGAGGTATTATACATTATTTACATTTTTCGGACTATTGTCCTCATTATCAAAACATTTCGGCCTTTCAGTACCTGTCTATATTTCTGAGATGAGGTATTATGTACATTATTTACATTATTCGGATCATTGTCCTCATCTTTGTCGCCATATTTATTACAACATTTCGGCCGTTGTACGCTCCGGCTTTCTTCAGGTGGAATGTCGAACTGAACCCTTTATTTCGCTCACTGGGGTAGACTGTTCTAGTTCCACGTGCCATTTTTAATGGTTGTCAGTTATCAGTTATCTCAGATGGTTCGATATTCGTGCCAGTTTCTGGTACCATTTTTCAATTTGTCTCCATATTTTTGGTATATCGGGTCCGTACCGATCCTTCTGATAACTGACATCCATTAAACATGGCCCGTGGAACTAGAACAGTCTACCCCAGTGAGCGAAATAAACGGTTCAGTTCGACATTCCAACCACCTGAAGAAGGCTGGAGCGTACAACGGCCGAAACGTTGTAGTAAATATGGCGACAAAGATGAGGACAATAGTCCGAATAATGTAATTAATGAACACTAAACCTATCCGCATTTTTACAATAACATATCTTCAGTTTTTTTTTAACACTATCTCCTGCTCATTCTGGGGTTGTTACACAAAACAGCGGCACGTGAGAAGAGGCTGTCCCAATGAAGCTTCCTTCTTACCAGTGTCATGTATATGTATAGCTGGCCACCCGTCTACTAGAGCGGTTAACCAATCCCTATTGCAGGGAAACTGGAATAAGGAAGGGAGTTCTACAGGCAAGAGGTGCGAGACATGAAGCTATTGGAGTAGAAGAGACGGCTACATTTAGGAGTTTCGACAGTGAAGGGCTGAGAGCGGGATGCCAGCCTCGTAGGGCGCTTGAATTCATGAAGTCTGGGAACCAGCGAATGCAGCTCCTCGGAGCAATTGCCATGAAAGTGTTTGTAAAACAGAGAGAGGTGACAGCGTGTCTGTGAGAATCTAGCGTGATCAACAATTTGAACAAGGCCAGCACGCTCAATCCCTCGGCTACGATGTCTTATGACTTTGTGCTAGATATCGTCTACCCAATTTTGCTCACAAGGTATGGTAGTATGGTTTTCAGGCACTTTCCAAAGGTGCCTCACACTGGGATCGACCCCTCCAGTCCGATAACATCAGGAAGTGAGGGGTCGATCCCCGACAAATAGTGAGTTATTCTAGGATAAATCAAAAATTATCCTCCCTTTCGCCCTAATATATATTTATGTTTGTCACACTGCCTTCTTCTCATGCGTGCTCATAGTTGGTACTCTTGTGGTCACATGATCGAAGTTTGAGCTTGATCGCGCCAGTTTTCTTGTTGCTGATACAGTGTAAACATTTCCGCTCCTTTAGCAGTGTGCACCAAGGAGGAACAAAGATCACTGATCCGATTTCTCTGGTCGAAGTTGTGTCAGGGGGTAAAATTCATCGGTGACTTTTAACACAATACGGTGACAGTACACGACCGCGTAGAAATGTGTACGTCATTCTCATTCCCTTCGTATTTCACTGGCCATTGAGCCAGCCTCTTCCCAATCGTTGCATCTATAAAACAACCCCATTCAATAATTCTGAGCGGTTCTTTGACCTTGTATTGAACGGCGCAAAAAAGTGA